GAATGCCAGAAGGTAAAAACTCTGTGCACGAAAGCCCCTAAGCTATTAAAAAGCTTTCTTTTGGGAACTAGTCCTTTACTGATTTTCCTCCTAGACTATTCAAGATTGTTTCAGTTTTGTGTCAGTAAGTTTAGGGAAGTGGTGGGCTCTGCAGGGCACTGCTGGGAGGGCTGAAGGCTGCAGAGTAAAAAGCTGAAAATCGCAAATAATCTGTAAGGGGGGCATTTTTTCATTTTACCTGTTCTGCAAGATATGCTTTTTGGGGGCTCTTGGCTTCTGACACACAGGTTTCTGACTGGTGTACCCCACATCAGTAGTTAATCACACGTAGCAACTAAATAAGGAAATCATGTATTGTGTACATTGTGAGGAGGATACCGATCACTGCTGGGGCTGGGAAGATGTAGGGGGGATGAAGAGGCTAAAAATCATCCTGTTTATCCAAAAAATACATGTAGATACTCACCCAGAATGTGACTCTGCAGCGGTCTTGCTCCCCCTGTGCTTTGTTGGCAAGGTTTGATGCTGGGCTGGCAAGTAAACAAATGACAGATGCCCTCCAATAAGCCCTCTCCCTTCCCAACAAGGGAAAGAGAATAAGGGAGACAGACTAAACTACACAGATTTAATGAAACAATACCGATTAAAAAGAATTAAATATGTATCAGTAGATACAAACCCAATATTGCGCTCCCCGCCAATAACGTTCATGTCACTGCTGAGGCTACAGGGCAGCCCTGGGGAAGCCCTGGGATGGGCTCCTGGGCTCAGCGGCAGACGGGAGCTGGATTCGGGAACACGTGCACAGGGATCATCAAGAATGGACAGTCCTCCCAGGACACTTGCCATGGACGAAGAAAGTCTGACCCTTGCAATCCCTCAGATTTACAGCAAGTATGAGGTGTATGGGATGGAATACTTTCTTGGGTCAGTGTTGGTCACCTCTGCCCTGCAGGAGGGCCACGGGTGTGTAACCCCTTTTCCTCCCTTTCGCTTCCAGCACCCAAGCAGCGACCTCGGTGTCTGTGTGAGAGGGGCCCCGCTGCACAGCACCCTCCAGCAGGAACTACCCACATCAAGCATCACCAGTCCTGGAAGCAGACACTGGCTGAAAAACATGCCGGTGATCGCCTAAAACGCAGTTACTTAGAAGAGAGGACAGAACAGCCCTTTGGTTCTGAGCTGGCTCAAACCAGGCCATCCCTACAGTGCGTTTGCACCAACAGATCTTTGGGTGCGTTGTGTTGGGTGGGTTTTTTTGCTGATGACCGCAGCTCCCAGGCGCGCCGGCGCGTGGCCCCTTTGCCTCCCGTGTCGCGCGTGCTGATTGGTGGGGACGGCGGGTTCTGCATGGAAGGCCGCCCGTGATTGGAGGAGGCGGCGCGCGGCGGGTCCTCTCGCGTTTTAAGTGGCGGGAGGCGGAGCAGCGGCGGTTATTTTGCCGTTGGGGCTGGTTGCGGGCGGC